GCAATTGTCACTTTTATGCCACCGTAGAATACATAGAACGACAGAAATTTGTCAGTTCTTTAGAAATGTTATATGCTATGCATTATTTTTTAAACATGTTTTAGCTAAACATTAATTGAAAAAATCTTATGATCTATGAACTCATTCCCATAACGGGTTTTCAACTATGCATTACTTGAAGACTTTATATTAGCTTTGTAAAACTTGAGAACATGTTATCAACTATGCATTACTTGAATGCATGTCATCAGCTTTACATAATTTGGAGTCACGTTATCAGCTATGCATTACCTTAATACGTGCAATCACTTATGAATTACTTCAAGATACATTATCAGCTTATTAATATTTCTTGGAGACATGTTTTCAGGTATGCATTATTATTGCACATGTTTCAGCTATGCATTTCTTGAAGATTGTTATCAAATTTACAATACTAGTTATCAGCTATGCATAACTTGAAAACTCGTTATCAGCTATACAGAATTACCTGAAATACAGCTATGAATTTCTTGAAGACATATTATCAGCTCTGTATCATCATCTGAAGACATGTAATCAGGTATACATTATCAACAATGCACTACGTGAAAGATGTTATTATCTATTCTTATACGATCAGCATTTGTCTCTATCGAACATAGAAGAACCGAAAGTGTGTGTTATTATGCAATAAATCACTGTTGACGTTTTATATTTAGACCTATGACGTAATAATTATAAACGTGACGTAACCCCTAAAATGTGACGCGCTGAAAATAAGTAGGAAAACATTTATTTGATGATGTCGTGTTTGAATCAAAATAATGTATCAAAATCGACAATTTTATCGCTTAACAAAATCACTGTTTGTCGTTCGGATGCGCATCAAATATCACTCAGGCTACATCCTCGTGCTATTATTATTCCTCGCATCCGAACTCCAAGCAGTGATTTTATTGAGCGATTTCTTAATTAACTACATGAAGACATATCTTTGCGATTCTTGAAGACATGTAATCATCTATGCATTACTTGAAGACATGATATATATTATGAATTATTTGAAGACATTTTATCATTTATGCATTTCTTGAAGACATGTTATCATCTATGCGTTTCTTGAAGACATGTTATCAGCTATGCATTACTTGAAGACATGTTATTATCTATGCATTTTTGAAGACATGTTACCGGTATCAGCTATGCATTAATTGAAGATATGTTATCATTTATGCATTACTTTAGGACAAGTTATCAGCTATGCATTACTTGAAGACATGTTATCAGCTATATATTACTTAAAACCATGTTATAATCAATGCGTTACTTGAATACATGTTATCAGCTATGCATTACGTAAAACATGTTATCAGCTATGCATTTCTTGAAGACATGATATCAGCTATACATTAATTGAAGACATGTTATCAGCTATGTATTACTTGAAGACATGATATCAGCTATGTTTTACTTAATGACATGTTATCAGCTATGCTTTTCTCAAAGACATGTTATCAGCTATGCATTACTTGAAGACATGTTATCAGCTATGTATTACTTGAAGACATGATATCAGCTATGTTTTACTTAATGACATGTTATCAGCTATGCTTTTCTCAAAGACATGATATCAGCTATGCATTACTTGAAGACATGTTATCAGCTATGTATTACTTGAAGACATGTTATCATTTATGCGTTTCTTAAAAACATGTTATAATCTATGCGTTACTTAATGACATGTTATCAGCTATGCTTTTCTCAAAGACATGATATCAGCTATGCATTACTTGAAGACATGTTATCAGCTATGCATTACTTGAAGACATGTTATCATTTATGCGTTTCTTGAAAACATGTTATAATCTATGCGTTACTTAAAGACATGTTATCAGCTATGCTTTACTTGAAATCAAGTTATCAGCTATGTATAACCTGCAGATATGTTATCTGTTACCTGAATTATTGTTATGAGCTAAGCATTACCTTAAGAAATGTTACAAGCACAACATTACGCTAAATCATTTGCATTTTTGAAGATAATCTATCAGTTATGATTAACAAGGACTTGCTGTCAGTTATTCATTACAAGAAGACATGTGCATACATGTAGCTTGATGTCATTTATCACCTAAGCATCACAAAAATAACTGCAAATATTGAAGTTCCTTATTTCATTTTGTTGGTGTTGACTTTTTTCATTTTACTCATAACATATGTGTGTATCTGTTCATGTAAATTTTTTGTGCTTGCACTTAAATACAATTTCCCTTTTCCTCGACTTTAAAATCTCCATGCACATAAACATTACATCATCATGTGTTTCAATCATAAAATAATTTTAACATTTGTAGTTTGTTTTTTGTTCAAAATGATTGCCAGTTTTTGCTTACAATAAAATCCCACATAGCGCAAGTTTGTTAGTTTCCTTTACTCTTTTTACTTTTTTTCTTTTGTGTTTTCCTGTTTTTATTTCTTTGTACTTCTTTTTCTTTCTTAATTACTTTGTACTTTATATTAGCGCCCGTGGCCGAGTGGTTATGGTCGATGACTTAAAACCACTTGCCCCTCACCGCTGTAGGTTCGAGTCATGCAAGGAAGCTATCCAGCTAGCTTACGGAAAGTCGGTGTCGGAAAGACTGAAAAATTCATGTCCGTGCAACTTTGCCTACATTCCATATAAACTTTTAATCAATTTTTTACATTTACAAGCCTATTGTCATTAAATACAATGGCACATATTGAAGGTTTCTTATGTGATTGTAAAATCTTTGGTTTTTGGGCTCATTATAATATGTTATTTTTTGTTATGTTTCGTTTTGTTTTTAAATATGTTAATTTGAATAAAAACCCTTCCATGTACAAGGTCTTTGGTATATTGAAGTAGATTTACCTATATTATTGGCAGATAACACAATTCTTGTCACTTTGTTGTTATTATTACATTTTGGTACACTGTGGTCGTCTCACGTAGTCAATATTTGTACTATAATCAATATCGATGCTATTGGTAAAAGCAGAGAGCATTTCCTTCAACTATGTATCATAGCTGATGGTTATCGTGTGCTGTGTGTTTAGTCGTTTTATTTTTAAAAATAGAAATTAAAGGTACATTATGCCCCAGAAATGCTTAAATAGCTTTATTTTTGGTGCCCAGTTATATTTTTCAAGAAGTTATTCATTTGCCAATTAACGGAACAATGTTTTGCTCCAGTGTTTCTTTGGCAAGTAGTACAACTGTAGTAATTATTTTTTTATGGAAGTTCAAACACTGTTTTACATTTCCCTACTTTTATGACATATTATTTAACATGCATTTCTACTTCCATCATTAGCTGATTGATTTCTAACATGCGCTAAAATTATTATTCAAACTCATGTGAGGGAAAAATGTTTCGTTTTGAGGCATAATGACATCAAAGACACTTCATCAACCTTTATCTTAGTGGTAAAACTTCCCTTGATACACTAGTAACAGAAGGCTTTTGTTACCGACTGCAAACGCTGTTTAAGTCTTTTTTTTTTATAATTTGACGATCAATTTCAAGTTATATATATAGAAAGCAACAAGTAGATTATAGCTTGTACACTGTCAGATTAAATTCAGGTTTCAAAACACACTTTTACACTTTTTTTAAAATAAGAAGATAAAGTTTCGTCCGAGTATACCGGGTTATTTTTCATTTGGACATGACATTCGTACTCTATAATACTATAAATCAAATGATAAAACAAACACTTCATGTGATGCTAATTATAGATTTATTAAGTATTAATCAAACATGTCAAGAAGCAATATTTATTTTCTTGAAGTAATCGTTGAATCATTCCCGAAAAACTGCCAAAAGTAGAAAACCACAAAGAGCCATACTTAAATGCTATTGTTTTGTGAAATAAATATTGGTTGGCCGTCGGCGTACAATTGCACAACTATTGGTTGGCCGTCTGCGTGCAATTTCACAAATATTAGTTAGCCGTCTGCGTACGATTTCACAAATATTGGTTTGTCGTCTGAGTATAATTTCACAAATATTGGTTACCCGTTGGCTTACAATTTCACAGATATTGATTGGCCATCTGAATTTCACAAATATTGGTTGGCCGTCTGCGTACAATTTCACATATATTGGATGACTGTCTGCGTACAATTACATAAATATTGGTTGACCGTTTGTGTATAAAGAAGCTTTATCATCGTCCGTAGTCCATAGCGTTTGTCAGAATACATTCTAGAAAAATAGATATGAATAAATAAAATAAGATATATATTTGAATTAATAAGAAAGTGTACATATATGTTGAACACAATTTTAAAGATTTTTTTTTATCTCTTTATCAACAATAAACAACTATTCACAGTTAAATATTGTGCAACTTATTCTGGTATATAAATATTATACTGATGATGTATTCTGAACAATGTAAACGATCACAAAATAAAAAGAAGAAGAAACCCAACTGAAACAAATAAGTGAAGGGCAGACACACTTAAAACGAAATCGTATTGTCCCTGATTATATTAAGAAAAGTAAATATTTATTCCAATTGTATACACCATATCTTTACATAATGCCGAAGTTTCAATATGACGGACACATAAGCGGGAAAACACATAAAACAATCATGGCTGCACAATGGTGTGCATAGTGTTAACTATTTTAATATACTGTAAAAATGAAAAGGTATACTTCGAACAAACCATATATCAAATAAAATTATGTTGACATATAAAATGTAATGTAAACAATTTCATAAATATTGATATCCGTACGATAGAGACAGTAAAAATCTAAAATGAAACATTAAAGAAAAACAAGACAGAAAATGTTGAAAGACAGGATTGGTTGAGCCTGATCATGGCGGTTCGTGGAAAAAACAAGCTCCTCGATTACCTGTATTTTCAACTTTAATACAACTGAATTGAAGAAATATATACATATACCTACGTTTTACAATAAAATAATAATAATAATAATAATAATAATAATAGTTATAAACTTTTAAAAACTTACCTTTTTAACGTTTAATAGCCAAGTTCTTCCGTAAGTCCATCTATACGTCTCTTCAAAACCTTCTTCTTTCTCTCCAAAGTTTTTGAAGAGTTCGGATCATCTTCTTTCTTAAGTCTTTTCATTACAATCTCGAGTTTTGCCTTCAATTTTGTCAACCTATCATTTATACTTTCAGTGTCTGAAAACCCATCAGATTCATCTAATTCCTTACGTAAGAAAGAAATTCTTTCATTTAGATGAAGCCTATCTTCTTTCATATCTTTTCTTTCTTTCTTGTCAGTCGTTTGAGAAATCATAATTTCAAGTTTTTCTAAATATTCATTTAAGGACTGTAAACGCGTAGTTATGTCCATTTCTCCAGGTCCAGAATTTCTGCTTTTTGACTTTGTCTTAAGTTTATTTTCGAGAATAAATTTCTTTTTCTTTTGCATGCCAAGTTTATCTTTTGTGTTTGAAATTCTATTATCAATCTTTTTATGTTTCTTTTTGGCTTTCTCTATCTTGGTTAAGACATTTCGTGAAGATTTCTCCTTTTCCTGTTTTCCAATTTGTTTGCTGTCATCATTCACAGCGGAAGTAGAAGAGTCTCCTGAACTGCCTCCATTTGTTTTGGACTTTTCTTTCAAGTTGTTGTTTAAGCGATATTCATTTTCTTTTTTGTCAGTTCCATCTTTCCTCTTTTGTTCCCTGAGTTCCTTTACAGTGTTTTCTATCGTGTTTTCGTCTTTGTCATATTTTTCTCGTTTTTCTATCTCATTAATCTTCTTTTTTATTCCTTGTGCTTCATCTTGTGATGACTTTCTTTCCTGCTCACTTTTTGCTGTTAAGATTTGTTCATTTAATCTTCTATTCAGACGTTGAATTTTATCGTTATCAGTGTCGTCCTTGTCTTCAAGAGTAGGTAAGTCTTTCATTTGGCGTATGTTATTTTTTATTTTTTCCGCTTTTTCCTTTAAATCATTCACTTTATTCTTATTTTGAGTCTCGACAATTTTGTTTTGTACTTCTTTCAGTCCCAGTTGTAGTTGCTTAATCTCCATCTCATTGTTGCCTTCCTCATTTCTATTTTCATCTTTACGAATATTTCCATTCACTTGGTTAATTCTTCTCTGAATGATCTCTTTCTTCACAAATAGCTTTCTTTCATTTGATCTATCTCTTGTTTTAGACTGCTTCTTTTTAATAAGTTCGTGCTTACTTCGAAGGATATCTAGGCGTTTTCGTTTAGATTGTCCGTTTCGGTTTTTATCTTCATCGCCTTCCTTTTGTCGTCCTTGTATTTTAACAATCTTATCATTGAAGTTATCTGCTTTATCTTGTAAAGTTTTTTGTTCTCGTTCATTTTTTGCTTTTAATACTTTCTGTTTTTCCTCATTAATGGCATTCTTAGTTTTAAGTAAAGGTAAACCTTTGAAACGACGTATTTTGTTTCTTAATTTTTCTACCCTCTCTTTTAATTCATCCTTAGTTTTCTTATTGCTGGTTGTACTAATTGTTTCGAGTATTGCTTTCAATTCTGCTTTCAGTAGCTCAATGACATGATTATTGTCTTTTATAGAATTTTCTTTCTTATCTTTTTTGTTGTCCTCCTTTTTGTTTTCTGTATCTTTATTTCCTGTCAATCGATCTATTCTTTTCAGAACGACCTCTTTCTTCCCTTGTAATTGCTTGGCAACTGATTTACTCTCTGTCTTAGACAAGTTCTTTTTAATTGTATTTAGTTTACTACGAAGAATGTCAAGACGTTTGTTCTCAGTTTGTACGTTTCTGTCTACCTCGCCATTTTCACTTTGTCGTTCTTGTATCTTATTGATCTTATCCTTGATCCTTTCTGCTTCATCCTGTAATAATTTCTTCTCACGTTCATTCCTTGTGTTTGAAATTTGTTGTTTTAAGTCTTTAAATTCCCTTATCAAACGTTCGAGTTTGTCCTCTTTAATGACTTCCTTATCTACAAGCGGAGGTAAGCCCTTTAAACGGCGTATTTTGTTAGTAAGTTTATCTGCTTTTTCTTTTAATTCATCTTTAGTTTTCTTATTGCTGGTTCTACCAATTGTTTCGAGTATTGCTTTTAATTCTGCTTTTAGTACCTTAATTTTATCAGTATTTTCTTTTTCTTCATTTTTTTCTTTCTTGTCAATTTTGCTTGTCTCCTTATTTTTCTTCTTTTTATCTTTAGATTTATTTCCTGTCAATCGGTATATTCTTTTCAGAATAATCTCTTTCTTCTCTTGTAATTGCTTGGCAACTGATTTACTCTCTGTCTTAGAAAGTTTCTTTTCAATTGTATTTAGTTTACTACGAAGAATGCTAAGACGCTCCTCCTCAGTTCGTCCGTTTCTGTCTTCGTCACCTTCATTTTGTCGTTCTTGTATCTTATTGATCTTATCCTTGATCCTTTCTGCTTCATCCTGTAATAATTTCTTCTCCCGTTCATTCCTTGTGTTTGAAATTTGTTGTTTTAAGTCTTTAAATTCCCTTATCAAACGTTCGAGTTTGTCCTCTTTAATGACTTCCTTATTCTCAAGCGGGGGTAAGCCCTTTAAACGGCGTATTTTGTTAGTAAGTTGCTCTGCCTTTTCTTTTAATTCATCTTTAGTTTTCGTATTGCTGGTTCTACTAATTGTTTCGAGTATTGCTTTCAATTCTGCTTTTAGTACCTTAATTTTATCAGTATTTTCTTTTTCTTCACTTTTTTCTTTCTTGTTAGATTTGCTTGTCTCCTTATTTTTCTTCTTTTTATCTTTAGATTTATCTCCTGTCAATTGGTATATTCTTTTCAGAATAATATCTTTCTTCTCTTGTAATTGCTTTGCAACTGATTTACTCTCTGTATTAGAAAGTTTCTTTTCAATTGTATTTAGTTTACTACGAAGAATGCCAAGACGCTCCTCCTCAGTTCGTCCGTTTCTGTCTTCGTCATCTTCATTTTGTCGTTCTTGTATTTTATTGATCTTATCCTTGATCCTTTCTGCTTCATCCTGTAATAATTTCTTCTCACGTTCATTCCTTGTGTTTGAAATTTGTTGTTTTATGTCTTTAAATTCCCTTATCAATCGTTCGAGTTTGTCCTCTTTAATGACTTCCTTATCTACAAGCGGGGGTAAGCCCTTTAAACGGCGTATTTTGTTAGTAAGTTTATCTGCTTTTTCTTTTAATTCATCTTTAGTTTTCTTATTGCTGGTTCTACTAATTGCTTCGAGTATTGCTTTCAATTCTGCTTTTAGTACCTTAATTTTATTATTATTTTCTTCTTCTTCACTTTTTTCTTTCTTGTCATTTTCGCTTTTCTCCTTCTTCTTCTCTGTATCTTTATTTCCTGTTAATCGATTTATTCTTTTAATAATGATCTCTTTCTTCTCTTGTAATTGCTTCGCAACTGATTTTCTCTGTGTCTCAGAAAGGTTCTTTTCAATTGTATTTAGTTTACTACGAAGAATGCTAAGACGCTCCTCCTCAGTTCGTCCGTTTCTGTCTTCGTCATCTTCATTTTGTCGTTCTTGTATCTTATTTATCTTATCCTTGATCTTTTCTGCTTCATCCTGTAATAATTTCTTCTCCCGTTCATTCCTTGTGTTTGAAATTTGTTGTTTTAAGTCTTTAAATTCTCTTATCAAACGTTCGAGTTTGTCCTCTTTAATGACTTCCTTATTTTCAAGCGGCGGCAAGCCTTTTAAACGGCGTATTTTGTTAGTAAGTTGCTCTGCCTTTTCTTTTAATTCATCTTTAGTTTTCGTATTGCTGGTTCTACTAATTGCTTCGATTATTGCTTTCAATTCTGCTTTTAGTACCTTAATTTTATTATTATTTCTTCTTCTTCACTTTTTTCTTTCTTGTCATTTTCGCTTTTCTCCTTATTTTTCTTCTTTTATCTTTATTTCCTGTTAATCGATTTATATTCTTTTAAGAATAATCTCTTTCTTCTCTTGTAATTGCTTGGCAACTGATTTACTCTCTGCCTCAGAAAGTTCTTTTCAATTGTATTTAGTTTCTACGAAGAATATCAAGACGCTCCTCCTCAGTTCGTCCGTTTCTGTCTTCGTCATCTTCATTTTGTCGTTCTTGTATCTTATTTATCTTATCCTTGATTGATCCTTTCTGCTTCATCCTGTAATAATTTCTTCTCACGTTCATTCCTTGTGTTTGAAATTTGTTGTTTTAAGTCTTTAAATTCCCTTATCAAACGTTCGAGTTTGTCCTCTTTAATGACTTCCTTATTCTCAAGCGGGGGTAAGCCCTTTAAACGGCGTATTTTGTTAGTAAGTTGCTCTGCCTTTTCTTTTAATTCATCTTTAGTTTTCTTATTGCTGGTTCTACTAATTGCTTCGATTATTGCTTTCAACTCTGCTTTTAGTACCTTAATTTTATTATTATTTTCTTCTTCTTCACTTTTTTCTTTCTTGTCATTTTCGCTTTTCTCCTTCTTCTTCTCTGTATCTTTATTTCCTGTTAATCGATTTATTCTTTTAAGAATGATCTCTTTCTTCTCTTGTAATTGCTTGGCAACCGAGTTACTCTCTGTCCTAGAAAGGTTCTTTTTAATTGTATTTAGTTTTCTACGAAGAATATCAAGACGCTCCTCCTCAGTTCGTCCGTTTCTGTCTTCGTCATCTTCATTTTGTCGTTCTTGTATCTTATTTATCTTATCCTTGATCCTTTCTGCTTCATCCTGTAATAATTTCTTCTCCCGTTCATTCCTTGTGTTTGAAATTTGTTGTTTTAAGTCTTTAAATTCCCTTATCAAACGTTCGAGTTTGTCCTCTTTAATGACTTCCTTATTCTCAAGCGGGGGTAAGCCCTTTAAACGGCGTATTTTGTTAGTAAGTTGCTCTGCCTTTTCTTTTAATTCATCTTTAGTTTTCGTATTGCTGGTTCTACTAATTGTTTCGAGTATTGCTTTCAATTCTGCTTTTAGTAATTTAATTTTAGTATTATTTTCTTCTTCTTCATTTTTTTCTTTCTTGTCAATTTTGCTTGTCTCCTTATTTTTCTTCTTTTTATCTTTAGATTTATTTCCTGTCAATTGGTATATTCTTTTCAAAATAATCTCTTTCTTCTCTTGTAATTGCTTGGCAACTGATTTACTCTCTGTCTTAGAAAGGTTCTTTTCAATTGTATTCAGTTTACTACGAAGTATGCCAAGACGCTCCTCCTCAGTTCGTCCGTTTCTGTCTTCGTCATTTTCATTTTGTCGTTCTTGTATCTTATTGATCTTATCCTTGATCTTTTCTGCTTCATCCTGTAATAATTTCTTCTCACGTTCATTCCTTGTGTTTGAAATTTGTTGTTTTATGTCTTTAAATTCCCTTATCAATCGTTCGAGTTTGTCCTCTTTAATGACTTCCTTATTCTACAAGCGGGGGTAAGCCCTTTAAACGGCGTATTTTGTTAGTAAGTTTATCTGCTTTTTCTTTTAATTCATCTTTAGTTTTCTTATTGCTGGTTCTACTAATTGCTTCGAGTATTGCTTTCAATTCTGCTTTTAGTACCTTAATTTTATTATTATTTTCTTCTTCTTCACTTTTTTCTTTCTTGTCATTTTCGCTTTTCTCCTTCTTCTTCTCTGTATCTTTATTTCCTGTTAATCGATTTATTCTTTTAAGAATGATCTCTTTCTTCTCTTGTAATTGCTTGGCAACCGAGTTACTCTCTGTCCTAGAAAGGTTCTTTTTAATTGTATTTAGTTTTCTACGAAGAATATCAAGACGCTCCTCCTCAGTTCGTCCGTTTCTGTCTTCGTCATCTTCATTTTGTCGTTCTTGTATCTTATTATCTTATCCTTGATCCTTTCTGCTTCATCCTGTAATAATTTCTTCTTCCCGTTCATTCCTTGTGTTTGAAATTTGTTGTTTTAAGTCTTTAAATTCCCTTATCAAACGTTCGAGTTTGTCCTCTTTAATGACTTCCTTATTCTCAAGCGGGGGTAAGCCCTTTAAACGGCGTATTTTGTTAGTAAGTTTATCTGCCTTTTCTTTTAATTCATCTTTAGTTTTCGTATTGCTGGTTCTACTAATTGCTTCGATTATTGCTTTCAATTCTGCTTTTAGTACCTTAATTTTATTATTATTTTCTTCTTCTTCACTTTTTTCTTTCTTGTCATTTTCGCTTTTTTCCTTCTTCTTCTCTGTATCTTTATTTCCTGTTAATCGATTTATTCTTTTAATAATGATCTCTTTCTTCTCTTGTAATTGCTTCGCAACTGATTTTCTCTGTGTCCTCAGAAAGGTTCTTTTTCAATTGTATTTAGTTTTACTACGAAGAATGCTAAGACGCTCCTCCTCAGTTCGTCCGTTTCTGTCTTCGTCATCTTCATTTGTCGTTCTTGTATCTTATTTATCTTATCCTTGATCCTGTCTGCTTCATCCTGTAATAATTTCTTCTCCCGTTCATTCCTAGTGTTTGAAATTTGTTGTTTTAAGTCTTTAAATTCTCTTATCAATTTCTGTTCTTTCTCTTCTTTTGACTTCTAGCTTCGTGTCAGTATTTGAATGTTTCTTCTTTTTAAGCTTTTCAATTTTTTTCCCTGTCTTACTAGATCTTTCCTGGTCATTAGATTTTAAAAACTTCTTTTTCAATTGTTGCTTTCGTTTCCTAAGCGTTTCTAAGCGTTCTGTTCTTTTTTGTACGTTGTTCACAGATATGGGTCTAACCGGAGACTTATTATATATTTTGTCTTTCTTAATCAGATTAATGTTATCATTTTCCTTCATATTCTTCTCAGAATTTGATGTTTTCTCTTTACTTATTTGTGAAATAAAATTTACAACATGACCGTTGCAACAACTTTCCCGCATAGGATTGTAAACTTTGGTACCACAACATGCAGTAAGGTCCCCGTGTTTTCTAAACTTTGTTTTTCCGTCACAACAAACATACAGTGATGGATTGTAACTGTTTGAGTTACAACACCGAGTTGTTTCCCCTGAAACTTTCAATTGTACAAATGCATTACAACATATTTCATTTTGACTATAATATGTCTCAGAAGTACCACAGCAAGAATCGGCAGATGGTGTTGTTTTTAAGACTATGTTTCCATTGCAACACATAGAAAGGGAAGGATCATATGGCAATCCTGAACAACAACCTGTCTTAGAAGAATACTGCATTTGTCCACAACACGATGTATTCATGTGTCTAGAAAATATAATATTTTCACAGCAAATCTTTTCCGTTGAATCGAAAATTTCTTTTCCACAACACAAAACTTTGTTAACGTCAACAGAGTCTGGTATGATTCTCACTTTTCCGTCGCAGCACTTTTCTCTTCTAAGATTGTATGAATTTGCTCCACAACATGACATGTCTGCATTAGATCTTTTTTCATGTAACTCGCCTTCGCAACAAATGTGTGTTTTCATGTTAAAAACTTCATCACCACAACACTGAGAAGCATATCCGTAGATAAGTCGCCGTCTTTTTGTCTTACAGCATATTTGGTTTTTAACATTAAACACACGCTTATCGCAGCATGCTGAAGGTGAAGACTTTAAGATCTTATTTGGGCGTCCATCACAACAGGCTTTCTTTGAAAGATCTATTTGTTTCTGTCCACAACAACACGAATTTTCTCCATATTTTAGGATCATAATGTTGCCGTTACAGCAAATAGATGTTTTTTCGTTGAACCGTGGTACAATTATGTCCTTAGAATTGCATTTAAAGCAGTTGCTTTCAAACGTTGAACTGCCACAACATTTAGTTGTGAGTCCAGATTTTTGTCTAAGCTTGTTATCACAGCAAATATTTTGTGACGGATCAAAGACATTTTTGCCACAGCATTTTGTACTTTGTCCGGATATTGCTGGCATTATTTCTCCCTTGCAGCATATCGAATGCTTATAGTCAAACGATTGGCCTCGGCAACATCTTGTGTTGTATCCATTGTACCTGAATTGCACATTTCCGTTGCAACAAATATATTCATTGACATCATAGGGATCCCCTCCACAAAAGTGACCTAAGCAAGCAATAAAAATAAGGCTAATTATAAACAGGACATGTATAAAATCAAACAACAAAAAGTACCAATTTTTTCTACATAGATGACAAAAAACATGGCAAAAATTAATAAAACCTATTTCTGCATAAGTGGTTTAAACGGTAAAATGTATTCAAAATAAACTATTATAACTTAAAGGAGTCAATCGAGAGCAATGTAAACAAATAATAATAAATAATTGGATGAAAATCGCAGCCTTAGTTAAGTGAGGTAAAAAGGGAAGTGCAACACCTTTGACGTCCTAAGCATCGCCTTTGTTTATAGTCAATACTCACAATAAAAGTAAGCATATTATTTGATATTACATCAAAAACGGATATTTGAAAATATTATTAATCTGTTTCTATTTTATTTACCTTCTTTGCATTGGCTGAAGAACTTCAATTGAATGGCGCTGACAACATCAGATAAATCATTATGATCATTAACAACAAAAACATTTTCGTCTTTTGGTGTTGATGCTATTTCATACAATTCTGATATGTCTGCTACATCAATTCCGACTGCAATTATTTGTATTCCAGATGATTTTGCTTTGTAAGCTTGCGCAGCTGTATATGTTGAGTTAATCGATTCACCATCAGTTATAACGATAGCAACATTTTGTACATTATTTCTGTCCCCTGATGATGCTTTAAACACATTAGTGTAAAGGTTTTTAAGTGCCTGACCTGTCTTTGTTGATCCTGAACGGATAGGTAGGTCGGAAATGTGTTCAATCATATCGCTACGCGTTTTGTACTTATTAAGTAGAAACTCATTAAAAACCTTATGCGTAAAAACAGTTAAAGCAAAGCGAACATTTCCAGATTCTACATCAGCTGTCATGATAATGTTTTCTGTCAATGACCATAACATTTCGAAATGAAACTCCGACATTACAATACTTTCAGAAGAATCTATCACTAAAGCAACATCTACTCTTCCATTGTTACAACATTCCATTGAAGTTGACTGAACTTTACCATCACAGCATGCTTCCGTCGACGGATTATAAAGCATGGTGTCTCCACAACATGATGCCCTTCCTGCCTCAGTGATCTGGATAATGTTACCACTGCAACACACGGCATACATTTCGTCAAATAGGCCATTTACACCACAG